AAGGATTGGATCAAAGCAAGACTTTACCCAATAAAGAAAACATTAACTTTTAAAGTTCTGTATTCAACACCAAGGATCCTCAGGAGAGCTTTGAATGCACCACCTCTTTGATTTAGCAATCTCATATAGCCAAGTATGATGGCTTTCCTTGTCACTTAGAGCTTTTTATAGAAGACTTCCTTGGCATCCTTGCTTTTTGGTTGGGTCTCAATAGGCGCTTCAGCGTCACCTTCATGGATTCTTGCATCACCCTATTAGGAGATCATTACAGGGACTCTAAATAGGCCTTACATTTGGCTTTCTGGGCTTTCCTCTGGACATCTTGGTAGAAGCCTCCAGGACTTTGTAACTCTTATACTCTGCATGTCTTCACTACTAGCACTGTTGGTCAACAAGATCTGCCATCACTGAGCTTTATTTGGACCTACTTCAGCTATGCCTGCAACAGTCTCTGGATGTCTTGCCAGCTAAGTTTTTCCAATGGCCTTAGGTTAAATGGTTACCTTTCTGTTCTGAAAAGGTTCTGCCATGTAAGAATCTTTGAAATTAATTTGTACTTCTAATTTATACTTCTACACCTTGGAACCTATGCCAGATACGGTCTTAACCAATGCCCGAGATGCTCTAACATATCTTTCTTATTAGCTTCGTATCAAGCACTTGGCTTTTAAAAAAATATTTATTTTTATTTTATGTGTAACAGTGTTTTGCCTGCATGTACATCTGTGTACCATATGTACATAGTCCAGCAGAAGTCAGAAGAGGGTATTGGGTCTTCTAGAAACTGGAGTACCTGACAGTTTTTAGCCACCCTGTTGGTGCTGAGAACTGAACTTAAGTACTCTGGAAGAGCAACAAGTGCTCTTAACCATTAAGTGATCTTTTCAGCCCCAATTTAGTTTCTTTTATAGACACCAATCTCTTGAGCAAGTAAATCTAAACAAGCTGCATTTCTATCAAAATTGTCAGTATTCTGAATCTGATTTTCTGTGCTTTGTTCCAAATTTTTACTTTAAAATTGGCTAAAAGCGCCGGGCGGTGGTGGCGCACGCCTTTAATCCCAGCACTCGGGAGGCAGAGCCAGGCGGATCTCTGTGAGTTCGAGGCCAGCCTGGTCTCCAAAGCGAGTTCCAGGAAAGGCGCAAAGCTACACAGAGAAACCCTGTCTCGAAAAACCAAAAAAAAAAAAAAAATTGGCTAAAAGCATTGTCACTGCCTTCTTGTTTTTCTGCCTTTATTCTGTAATATAAACTTTTACCTTTAAATCCATCACTATTAGCATCAGTTTTCCACAAAGTCTCATATGAATCATAAATGGACATGGAGATAATACATCCAAAGTATTTGCCACATCATGACAGGAATAATCTCTCATCTATGTCTCAACAGAGTCCTCATTCCATCTGAAACCTCATCAGTATCTTTGTGTTGTACTTTGGTTTTTGGTTTGTATTGGTATTCTAGACTCTTTCTAATTTTATTTTTTTGAAACTTAAATGTTTATGGAAGCGACTCCTGTTTTCTTTTAATTGTTTCCATGGAACTGTGTTTCAACCCATGACTTTTAACCTTTTTTAAGAATTAAAACCAGGAATTTGCAATTAAAATGAGTCTTTTGTATACAGCATATATAGTCAGATCTTGATACATTTTTTTAATCCATTCAGCTACTCTTTCTTTTGATTACAGAATTTAAGCCATTTAGGGCTAAAATAATTGTTGATAGATAAGGGTTTATTAGTGCAGTTTTCTTCATTGTTTTCTAGATTCTATATTCCTTTTCCTCTTTATGGTCATGCTTTGTGCTGTGATGATTTTCTGTAGTGGTAATTCTTTGATTCTTTTTTATCCTTAGTATATCTACTATATGTTTTTGTTTGGTGGCTGTCCCGAAGTTTATTTGATCTACTCTAACATGATGACATCTCAGCTGCATTTTCTTCAAAGCTCTACACTTTTACCTGCCATGTCCTCTACAGATTCACTCTTGTTCATTTTTATGTGTACATTAGCAATTTTTACTATAAGTAGTTTAAAAACATCTTTTTACATTTAATCTTATAATTGAATTGATTTATATGCTGTTATTTCATCCTCAGACTATTATGAATTTGAATATAAATATACCTTTACCAACTAATATTATACTTCATTGGTAACATTTATATACTATCATGATATTAATTATCATCTATCCATTTAAGCTTTAAGAATTCCTCTTAAGCCTGTAATTTCAGCTGGTTAGGAGGCCTGTTACCCCAGGTACTGAGAAAGCTGAGGCAGAAGTATCACAATTTGATGGCCTATCTGGACCACATATTAAGCTGAAGCTACCCTGGGCAAGACTCTCTCTAAATAAAAGTTTTGTGGAGGGCTATTTGCCTAACATGTAGATGGCCCTGAGTTCAATCTACAGTAGTTTGGTGCCTGTCCTGGATCTCGCTCTGTAGACCAGGCTGGCCTCGAACTCACAGAGATCTGCCTGGCTCTTCCTCCCAAGTGCTGGGATTAAAGGGGTGCGCCACCACCGCCTGGCCCCAGTCAATACATTTTTATCACTAGAAACGAGTAGATTTTTATAACTTCTATTTCTCATTTTATCATTTTAATGTGTTTCAGCCTTCTGAAATGATATTGTTCGGAATATACATGTTGAAAGAGCTTTTAATATCTTTTTCTACTATTTTTTCATGTTTAATTTCTGGTTATATTTTTGGTAAGTTCTTTTCCCTATTGTGTTCATTCAAAATTTTCCTAATTCTTTCTGTGTCTGTTGGCTTTGGGACACTGATTATTATAACTTTTATATTTTTTATTTTATATTGCTAGATCCTTCTCAACAGTGTTCAGGTGTTTTCTGGAAAATAGTTATTTGCAATTATTCTTCTAAATCTTTGCTGGAGTAGGTGAAGAATTAATTCTATGGTTAATTTATCCCAGTGTTGATCTTGACACCTTAAAGTCTACTGTTCTGTGTGTAGTGTAGTTCATAGTAATATGAATTATTTTAGCATTATGAAGTTTGGAAGTCATTCTGCCTTCTTTTTTGTTGGTTTCCCACCCCTCTACCCCTAAGCTTTTGGTAGTTTCTTCACATGAATATCCAGATTAGTATGTAGCTGGCCTTTGTAGGAATAATCTCCAAATCCCTAGTAGAGTTTCCATGTGCATCTCTCTCTCTCTCTCTCATATTCCCTTTATGTTCTAGCTGCTTTGCATCCTTACCTCCTGATATCTGTCTCTTCGATTCAGTGAGATCACTGATAGTTTTGAGTTTCTTTCCTTTGCCTCAGGAAACGTTCACTAAGCTAGAACATGTATGAGGCTGTCAATCTCTTCTCACTGCTTCCTGCTGACTGCTGCCTAACATGTAAAAGCTGTTGTTTAATGTATTTAGCCCAGTTTTCTGATTGTTTAAAGTAGATTAAGACCAGTTTCTTCACAGACTGTTTAACAAACACTTCCTGGTTTCCTCATTATTACGGTATAAGTTTGCAGTTCTTCATATTTTAAATCCAACACAAAAATCATTATTACACATTCTAGTTGGCTATTTTTCTTCTGATCATTATGTTGAAAGCTTCATTATTGCTTATAATAGAAATAATTAGCAACATTTCAATATAATAAAGACTAAAGATTTAAATACATATACTATTACATTTACTCATATTAAAATTAGTTATTCCTTTTCATGGAAAAACTTCAGAGTACTTTAATGCAATTTTCTGCTTTGATTCTTATTAAAAAAAACCTTATAAACTAGATTCATTAATTTCTCTCAAAGTTACATAACCTATAAATCAAACAGATAAAATTAACCCAGGATATTCTGAGTCTTATATACTTTTTTAAGATTTCAATTTCTGGAATACACAGAACTTCAGTTGAACTAGGAAAATATTTTAAGTGGATAAGAGTTTTGTTCTGTCTTATTCTTATATTTGTGAGAATGACAGTGTGACAGAAGGAAAAGAGTAAGATTGAAACTATGCACATTGTTTATAAACAAGATTCAATCTAAGTAATAAAATAATATGGAGCTTTTAAACAACACACAAACCATAATCATATAGAGTGTATAACTAGTTTAGAAGTAGAAATGACAGAATGGAAGTGTTTAGCTAGAGAGCATGTTGTAAATGGGCAGATATGGGAGTTAATATATACTTACTTAATAGTTCAGGTGACCAAAAAAGCCTGCCTGGGAAAGCTGCTTTACTGAACCAACTAGTTAATTAGTCAAATTGTATTTGTCATTTAATTTATAAGACACAGTACTGAACAAAGATGAGAGGAATCATTTTTCATAAATCAAGCTGTATTTCTATCTACTATGATATCAACCTCTAGATATATGTAGTAGTAGTGCACACCTTGTCTCCTGGGAGACAAAGGTAGGAAGATGACAGTTCAAGGAGGGTCTGGCTACCTAGGGAGTCCCTGACCTAAAAGAGAAAGGAAAAGGAGGAAGAAGGAAGGAGAAGAACAAGGGAAAAAGAAAGAGGAGGAGGAGGAAGAATGAAGGAAGAAGAATCCAGAGTAAGGATAGGGGGAGAAAGGTTAAAAGGAAAAGAAAATGATTAATTTGGAACAAAATAATCACAATCTTATTTGCGAAAGCCATCTGATAGTTTACCTACACATCTGTGTCTAGTTAGTGTGCCTATTTCTTGACCCTTTGCACAGGAAAAAGGATTTATGTCATTTTTATTCTCTAAAACTATAAAATCAAGTTAAAGAGCACATTATTAATCACAGCTTAAATGATAAAACTTGAAATATGATTGCCAGCCATCTCTACTTTTTATAGTAATCAGTCATGGTTATTATACTCAATCTATCATATGTACAGTAGATTTGTTTCCTGACTTTGAAACACTAATCACTGTCTGATGTCCCCAATCTTAGATTACTTCCCAGCAGTCTTATATTTAACTTAAAGGTAAAAATAACCATGCTTATTATACATTTTGGTTCTGTGTTTTTCCCGCTCTCAGAGTTGCATTTGGAAACTGCACTGGGTTGGTTGTGGTGGATTTCATACAGAAGACAGTACTGTTAAGTATGGGAACCATTGACCTCTACAGATCAAGTGACCTGTACCAGCGACAGCCCCGGTCTCCTCGAAAAAACAAGCAGTTCATTGCAGGTAGGAAACAGACTGGGTGGGTTTGGAACTCCATTTGTTCACTTGCTTTCTTGCAGATTGTCTTTCCTGCATTATGCCATTCAAATGCATGGTAATACTGACTCAACATGCACAAAAATGAACTGGGATGAAACAGCAATAATCTTTGAACAGAGTAAGCAGTGCTTAAAGTTTAGTTTGCTGTTGAAGTTAGGAAGCATCTTAAGTTTCTTGGGTTGAATTCTTAAGAAATAACAGAAAATAAAAACCTACTGATATGAAAACTGGGACTCTGGCGGAAAAACTGCTTTAAAAATTTTGGACTAAACAGTTTAACTTTCCTCTAATATTGTTAACCCCTTTCAAATACAGTCTAAGGTCATTTTTTGTTTGTTTGTTTTTTGAGACAGGGTTTCTCTGTGTAGCCTTGGCTGTCCTGGAACTCACTCTGTAGACCTGGCTGGCCTCAAACTCACAGAGATCCTCCTGCCTCTGCCTCCCAAGTGCTGGGATTAAAGGCGTGCACCTCCATGGCCTGGCTCATTTTTCATTTTTTAAGTTACTATATTGTGGCCATCATCTTTTTTACTGATGATGACTAAATTGGACATATGTATATAAACATAATAAATACCACTCTCTGATATTTTAAGTGCTATGAAAGATGGCATTTTTGTTAGAAGGACAAGCAAATTAACTTAACTACGAGAGAGAAGTTGTTTAAGGTTTAATTAGGATGTGATGCCAAACTTAGATGCCTGAATTATCCAAAATTTTGCAGGAATTTCAAATAAGCGGCTTTAACATCCATAAATTTTGTGTTTTTATCATCTAGTTGGTTAAAATTGTTTCTATAGTGTTATACGTTTAGATAGTGCTTTTACATCTCCTTATTTTACCAGTAATTAACTGAATATTGAGACCTTTACTAAAGATACCCATAAAAAGAATATTTTATAATATATGATAGTTGTTATTGTCCAAATTGCGGATGGGTCAGTTTCAACATTAAATGAATTTCCCATTTGGACTAATGGTGCTTGATTGACATTCTTCTTTGTTAACTTTTCTTTTGTGAACTTCAATGCTTGCTAATTTAGACCATTTTCAGAGGCACAGCATTTGCGCTTCAGAACTTGCCAGGCTTTTGTTTGGGATCTCAGCTTTCAGTATTATCTTAGTATCCTAGAAATTTTAGTTCTGCAGATTCTGCTTCTGTCATTACTAGCTTTTGAAAGAAAACCAGAACTATTCCTTCATGTTTGGAGAAGAGGCAATTGATTTTGAAAGTTCAGAGTCTAAGATAGGAAGCCATTAGGGGCAGGTAGTGAGGAGCTGCTGCAGACTCAAAGTACCCCTTGGTCAGAAAAGCTGTAGATCCTCTGCCAGCACGTCAATTACTTGTCTAATATCCACTTAGGGATGGAAGAGTGTTTTGACTGGGAAAACATATGTAATTCAAACCCGTTGAGTTTCAACAATAATGACTACAGATTAAAATTTTGATAGCTTAAATATGAGGAAAAAAACTGAAGTTGTCCTTTAATCCCAGCACTCGGGAGGCAGAGCCAGGCGGATCTCTGTGAGTTCGAGGCCAGCCTGGTCTCCAAAGCGAGTACCAGGAAAGGCGCAAAGCTACACAGAGAAACCCTGTCTCGAAAAACCAAAAAAAAAAAAAAAAAAAAAAAAAAAAAACTGAAGTTGTAAACTGAGTCTCTATTTTATTATATAAGGTAACTATAATAAGTGCATACTTTATATTACAAAACAAAATAAAAACTAAATAACTAAGCTGTCTTTTTAAATGATAAAAGATTAAATATAACAACCTTAATATTAACAAAATATTTTTATGTAGTATTACAAATGAAATCATTCCACCATGGTAAAAACACGTAAGAAGAATTTACCACAAACTTTATAAGGTATTTGATTAAATAAATGGCTACAGCATCTCATCATTCATCTATCCCCTTTCTAACTGATTTATTTTTAAAATATCTCCTCTCTAATTTGATTGCCTAATCTTGCTACAATTTCTTCATCTTGGCTGTTTTAGATTCTGGTATGATATCACTTCCTTTCACTTTAGACTATTTTCTCTCTTTCCTCTGCCTGCTGCTGATGCTGATGCTCTGGCATGTTCCAAAGACAACTTTTGCATGCGTGGGCTGTCTAACTTTTATCCTGATTTAACGAAACGGATCCGTACTTCCTATCAGAGTAAGTTCTATAAAGGTTAGGCAAATAGCTCTTTTTTTTTAAAGTCATAATGCTTGAGTTAAATCATTCATGAGTGCTTTGCAATGTGTTTTTCATAAAACACATTCAACATGCATGCAAATTTTTGTTTTGTTATGGAAATGCAATCTGATGTTTTAATTTTGAATTTTCATAATTTTGATTTCAATATTCCAGATGTACCCACTCACTCACCCCTTGTTTCAGTGTACATTTCAAGCCATGTCCATGAGTCCGGTAGTCATTGTGTATCCTTTGTAAGGAGGAAGAGTCGTGGTGTTTTTAGAAATTATGAACCTGACATACTGTGTCAATAACAATTCAGTGCTTCCTTATTTTGTCAGTGTTGTGTTTTTGACCATTTTGAGACTTTATTTTAACTAGTATGAAAATAATCTTTTCTAGTTCTTGGGGATAACTAAATATTCCTAATTTATGATGCCTTTTATTAAAATAGAATACTCTCAAACATGGTTCAATGGTGATTTTAGGTACCAAACCCTGTGACATAGAGGAATTAAAGTCATTACTAAAAGGTGAATAATATTAACAATTCCTATGGTAGCAAATGAAGATGTAAAAATGGGTGAAATAAGTAATTCTAAACATTGATACAGAAAGCGTGAGGGTGTATGTCACTAAACATCTAACAATTCAAGTGATATTGTGAGTAAATAGCTACTGATATGAAAAATGTTTATATTATGCTAATATATATTTGTGAAAGTCAGGTTGCTTGCCAAAATCTACAATATGGCATTATAGTTGTATAAAAATATACACACATGCATATAAGCACACATACATTTGAACATATTCTTGTAACCTGAGTTTCTTCAGACACACTCTTACTAGTTGAAGCACACCCCATTATAAAAGTTAAAACTTTACAAATTTAATGTTCCTGGCAAGACGCTGTTTCCTGTGAAGCCCTTCCAATCTTCTGGAAGTGCCCAGTGTGACTTGCTTTTGTTTGTGCTCTCTACCTTTCTACTCCACCAGTCACCCTTTTGAGGACACAGCCCACTGTACCTGCTCCAGGTGACTTGTATCACTTTTGACATCTGTCTTGGCTTCAACTACTCATAAAGCAGAAAGAGATACTAGAATATTTCTTGACATTTTGAAATTATGTGAAATTTATTTATCCTATTTATCCAATATGAGGAGTCCTCTGACTGTCCATGGCAATGAGATTGCTTTCTGCAATGTTCTCAGCTTAGCAAATAAATGATGGAGTAAGATAACGCATAGCTCCATAATGAGCTTTTATTGCAATGTAGCTATACCCCTTCACTCACAGGTTTTCAAAGGCTGATTTTATATTTCAGTGGCAGGATTGTGTAATCAAAAAAATCATATGGCCCACAAAGCTGTCTCTCTGTACATTTAAAAAAAAAGTTTACTGATCCCTACTTTATACCATTTTTTCATACCCATCCTGTGCAACCACATAGAGTTTGCAACTTTTCTTCAATAGTTCCCAATATATCTGAATACCATTTTGGCCTCCCAAAATATTCAAGAATATGGGATTCAAGTTTTACCGATTTCTCATAGATTTATAATAAACATGTGATGCTATTATAAGTAGAGTACAGAGAACAATTGCTGACTCTGAGCTTGTCAGAATTCCACAATGCCAGCCACACAGTAGTATTGGGAAGCTTTAAAAATTGCTGAATATTTTTGTAGTCCCTCCATAATAATAAGGTCTAAGCTTTTAAACTTACATTTAGTGTCTTCTAAAATATAATTTCCTGTTTCTTGTGTATAAAAATGTGCTGCTGAACCCAACTGTATTTCCCTACCTTTTTGATTTACTCCCATCTCCTCTCCATAAATGACTTGCTCAAGTTGCTTTTTCTGTAATAAACCTTTTGTACTGCAATCGAAGCCCTCTTGTATCAATTTCTTTAATTAAGTGCCTATGATATACAAGCTTGTACACAACATGTCTATATTTTTCAATTCACTTATATAGCTATATATTTTATACTTGTACTCTACATGACAAGAATATGAAAAACACATCAGTTAAACATTTGAAATTTAAATTCAATAGGTGAAAATTCAAATTTAAAAAAATTAAATTCTTGTGACCTCTACTGCAGCACATGTTCTCAGCTTAGCAAATAAATGATGGAGTAAGATAATGCATGGCAGAAAGCAATCTCATTGCCATGGACAGTCAGAGGACTCCTCATATTGGATAAATAGGAGAACTAACTCTTGTCATACTGGATTAATTGGAATTTTGCAACAATTATCAGATTTTTTTCTAACCAGAGACCTACATAAACAAAAGAGAAGTAAAGTTGAGTCCTTACAATATAGAACTTAAATAGGAATTCCATGTCTCTACCAGTGGTCTCTGTGGCAGATCAAATAGCTCTGAAACTTGTAACCAGATGTCTTAAAGTCCTCTCTTCATGATAAATATTTTATGTTATGAAGAGGGTTGATTCTTTAATGATTCAAATAGATTTATTAGAAATAAATTTCATAAAAATGTGGGTTAAATTTGTAGTTGGTATAATCTGGTTGTATTTGTATAGTCCTATATTACTATAATAGAAACAGTACATGAAGTATTTCTCCTAATTATAGAAACGGGTGTCTGTGGTGTTCACATCTGTGGAGAGAGACCCCACTTCTGTGGACAGTTCATCCTATTCCCATTGTACTAGTCCAGTGGTCTCAACCTTCCTCCCGCTGTGACCCTTTAAGACAGTCCTTCATGTTGTAGTGACCCCCAACCATAAAATTATTTTCGTTGCTACTTCATAACTGTAGTTTTTCTACTGTTATGAATTGTAATGTAACCTATGTTTTCTGATGATCTTAGGCAACTCCTATGAAAGGTTCATTTAACCCCCAAGGGGACATGACCCACAGGTTAAGAACCATTATGCTAGTCAATTGTTTATTTAATGGCCATTATAACTCTTGAAGGAAGGAATGAGGATTAGTTGATATATTCATCTATAGATGAGAAAATTAACATTGAAAGAGATGAAATTCCTGTATTAAAATCCTTAAGGATAGTCAGACAAACTCACCTCAATATGGCACTAAGAAGACCCATGTGCTTTCCATCATGCTATCCTGTACCTCTTCTTGCCTCTTAAAGTTTTAGTCACATTGGGAAGAAAATCCATATTCTATAATCAAAAGCTATTACCTTCTTCCATATTACCTATTATCAATAAAATGACACATTCAAATTGAGACAATTTGAATTCTTCATATTTTTGAACTGAAGAATTAGGTAAAATACTCTGTAAATGTCTCATATTTCTAAAAAAACTTTTATTTTTTATTCTGTCCTATCAATTTTGTTCTTGAAGTAATATCACATTCATATGTGAATTTTATGATTCTAGTTTTGATGGAATATCTTAATTTGAATCTTTTCTTGGTCTATTTTCCTGATTATCTAATCATCTAGTTTAGGATCCAAGAATCTGTCTTTCACAATCCTTTAAATTCATGTCTGCAAATCTCTTGTATCATAAAATAATAAAATTTTATAACTTAAAGAAAATCCTCATATTTAACAAATTACTGTTTGAAGAAGCAGTGGAATGCTTTGGAAAGAGCAGCAGCCACATGTTCAAATTTAGATCAAGTTCTACTTTTCCAATTCATTGACTAGTTATTATAACCTTAAAGAAGATAATTGAGATTTCTTCTCATATATAAAAACAGCATAAAAATCATTATCTCTACCTCTCTTAAAGAGTTGCAGAATTCTTCTGGTTGATTTTGTAGAAGAACTTCTATAACTATTAGATATGTTTATTATTAATGTGTGATGCAATCGAAAAGCAGATGGTTAAGTGACTTCCAGCATCATGATCATTGTGTGGAAGCCATAGAGTTAAAACTGCATCTGCCTGTCAGTGCCTAGTGCTTTGTTTCTGAGAATGTCAGAAATGTTGCAAGTTAAAAACTGATTGTATCAATGTTATTGAAAGGAAGTTTGAAGATACATTTAAGGTAAAGTGTGGCAAGAAACATTTGCTTGTGCCTCAACATATAATTTACAAAAAGGGATCCTTTGAGATTGCAATTTTTCAGTGTTCACCAAATGAGATTTTTCTGATTAAAGAATGGCAGGATGTCCTCAAAATGTAAATAAGAAAAAAAAACAAAAAAATGAGACAAGATGCTAATTATAAAGAAGAGGAGAAGGTAAATGTAAGAGAACTATAAAGGAAGGATAAAAATAAACATCTGAAAACAAAGTCCAGAATGGAAGAAAAGTAAAGGAAAAGGGGATAAAAAAAGAAGGAATATCCAGACAAAAGAAAATATCAGCATAAATTGTGATAAACAAAGAGATCCACTCATTCAATATTTTCTTTTTATTTATTCTTCTCTTATACAATACATCACAACTACAGCCTTGCCCCCTCTGCTCCTCCCAGTTCCCTACACACCTCCTCTCTCCCCCAGACCCACTGCTCTCCATTTCCCTTCAGAAAAGAGCAGGCCTCCCAGATATATCAACAAACATGGCAGAACAAGATGCAACAAGATTAGGCATGAACCCTCAACTACTGTGTTGAACAACTTTCTGAGGCCTTTAGTATACTGTGGTGAGAGAAACAATCCTAGTCTTTTCCTTGCAAATACTGTTGACTATATAGGTAAATAAACCCATAGATAGACTCTTATAACTGAAAGGTAGCCATGCTATGGTGGAGAAATGAGATAAGAGGCTAATTATAGTACTGGTTTTTGTTTTATCAGAGAAAAGCCTATTCAAGAAGGAAATACATAAGTGAAGCTTTGCAAGATAACAAGGAAGCAGTCAGAACTTTGGGTTTCCAGTTCCAAACAAGCTAGAATCAGAGCACTAGATTGGATTTACTGCCAGAAATAACCAAAGTCAATATTTTTAGACAACAAAATAAGGAAACAGTGATTTATTTTTTTAAAATATATGACTTAGTGATGTTTAAAAGTGATGTCTC